AAATTCCGCGATTTTTCACTTCAAACAAAATTGAAACCATCGGGTTGAAAATGTTATGAAACAATTGGTTCATACGTCAGCTGTGCGTTTATCGAGATATGAAGATGATACGAAGATGATGTGAAGATGATATGAAGATGATATGAAGATGATATGAAGATGATATGAAGATGATACGAAGATGATATGAAGATGGTATGAAGATGCCTGAAGATGCCTGAAGTTCCTCGAAGCGTAGCCTCGAGCAACTCTTACGCATCTTTCGTGCTCTCTAAACTTCCTAAGTGCTTCATATCTCAATGAACGCACAGCTGACGTGTGAACCAATGGTTAAGAGAAGAAATGGAAGTTGCGAGAACGGTTCATTCCTACGAAGGAGAACCGCGTGCATCAAACGAAGATGTCGACGAAGACTGACAAGACGGTGTTTCGCCTGTAGCGTTCAGGTCAAGATTTGAGCAAGAAATTCCACAGCCTTTTATTCCTTCGCACTATGTGCGGCGAAGTTTCCCCTCGGTCATTGCTCTAGAGTTTCGTTGGTGTAGAGAAATTCCTTTAGTGACCAAAAGCTAACTTTTGACGAAAGAATCAGATGTATCGTGAGGCACCATAAATTTTCACCGAGAGGTTATCATTCAATTCAGCGTCAGCCGTGACTGACCCATAATAATGCTTAAAGCTTGCTTCCCGTTTTCGTAATGGATCTGAAATTCGTTATCTCAATACCCAAGATTGTTCAACCCCTGAGGAAACCGTACGGAAAGGTTTTCTCCAATAAAACTGACCGTGCAAGATTATTCTTAAAACGAAACGGAGTTAAAATGATTAAGGAAAAAAAAACTTCCTATGCACATATACAAAGAATCATTGGCTCTAATGCCAGCCGATTGTTAAACAACAGCACGGAATACTGTGACAACTTTTTGACAGTATATGTTCCCGTTTTTAAATCCCTACTTACGAGAATATTCTCACCCCAAAATCCTGAAGGACCTGCGACCCCATTCTTTTAACTCTATTGGTAAATGCAACCTCATTATAGTCAATCCTGTTGTGAAAATGCGATCCAATCCAGCGGAAAAGCCTGATTAGCCTCTCCCCACGAATTACTCACCCCCCGCCCCACGGGCGTGCGCACCGTAAGAAATGATATTGGCGGGGTCTTGTCAAGCACAGCTTCTGCACAATGATGTACTTAAAATTTCTAAACTTTTTATTTATCTCCTCGTTGCTTAGTCGCCACGTAATCTTAGCCCTGGAAATCAAGCACTACCACGGAACAAACATCATTGTTCATCGGAACAAACTTAATTTGGGAGTCCCAGTCTGTTCATGTTCTTTGGAAAGGCTGTAACAATAACAGCTAAAGTTCCTCATATAGCAATTAGAAAATGCAATTCAGATAAGTTTTTTTCGAAAACTTTGCAGAATTAAAGTTCTTTAAATTTTTGTTTTGCTTTTTCTTTCTTTCTTTGGGTGGCATTGAGAGGCATTCTACAATAGTATATATCCTGTTACACCTCACTGGGCGGATATTGCGAAAGATCAGAAATAAGATAGACAATCGGAAACTCGGACGCCGACGGTTAAGACAAAAATGTCTGCATACCCGCCTCAGTGACTCATAATGAAAAAATTAAACATAGTGTGCGCGCTCTCGTTGGCCGATAGGTGAGTTGTAATTGAGACGCCATGCTTTCTTCATTTGTCGTATCATATTTGAGTCGTGAAAGAAAAGACAGGAAACTGTCAACAACCAAGTGCGTAAGAGCACTCGCAGAGAGTCCGTGAGAGAAAACAAAAAAATAGAGAAAACAAAAACAAAGCAAAAAACAAATCACAAAGATTAAAATTGAACGTTTTCATTTACATCACTATTGTGCAATAGCATCACATTTCGACATTCCTATCCTAGCAGCACAGAGGAGGTTTGTCGCCATGGACCTAATTAAACAACTCAGCCTGTTACTAGTTTTCAGAAAATCGGAAGTATTTTTCGGAAGGTCATACGTTCGACTCGGAGTTCTTTTTCCATTAATGCCTGTGTCAATCAATGAAGAACATCATCTTAAAAATACAAAAACAAAAACAAAAACCAAATTGCCTGAAGCTTGAGAAACCGCAGATAACCTTCTCGGGCATCTATGAGTCGAGTCTTATAACTAACGCATGTGTATTTTACTATTAGCAAGCATTTTCGCCGAGAACTTGCCTCCGAGGCTATCGAGCGAGGTAGGCTGATGGCAAAATGTCAGATCTTATTATTCGCAAATCTTATTATTCGTCATCTAAATCTTTTTTTTTCTGATTTCACATTCATTGAGTTCATCTCACTTAACTTTATCCCACTCTATCCTCTCCATCCCACTCTTGCCTAAGCTAATCTTGATATTATTCGCGCGTTAAGGACTCGAAATCGTAATGACGGAAGATTGGAGTTGCTCACGGTCCACTTTCTAATGCTCGATAGATTCTTTAGTGTAGTGATAGCCGTGTATCCCCTTTACCGGCGTTTTACTCTCAAGATCTTATCAGAAATTCTCCTTACTGGCTGCCATTCAAGCATTATGGTGTTATTTTGGGGAATTTTTTATTGGATCCTGCTATAAATAACTCCCTTATTTATGTTTCTCGATATTCTCAACACTTGTCTGCTCGATATTGTGTTGATGCTGCGAGAAGAAGTTCTGCCTTGAAGCGACTTGAAGGTGGCAGCAACCCGTTTACGTAATGGATCATAACTTCAAGGACTTTATTCTGGCAGCATTTCAACCTGCAAAGGCGATCCGACCGATAGGTTAAATCCAATAAACATGACAATTAAGATTTATCGAAGATTACTTAGACTGTCTCAATTTCTCTCAATACGAAAGAGGCTAGTCCATAAAAAGCGAAAACGTAGTGTTTCTGCGCATTTATAAACAAAACTATCGGCTTTGCATTTTAGAGATTTTAAATTGAGAGGGAAACGAATAAAAAACATTACCTTAGTGTCTCGGACTTTTCCTTCACAGACTGATAGCTAAGTAGCTTAATGATCAGTCGCCATGCAGTTTCATCAGATGTTAGAACAGTGCACAGACAATTAAGGGTCAAACTACATTCGTTTCCTGGCCATACCACGACCGAAATCAAATGATAATCCTTCTTTATCCAGGGTTTCACTGATAATTCGTAGGGATTACAAATAGCGTTTTTCGTTCGTATCTATCCAAGTTTGGGAGACATATGTTTCTTCTTTTTTGTAATGTTTTGTTTTTGTTTGGTTTTATTTGTATCATCAAGATATGCAATATAAAAAGTACTTGTGAAGTTGTTTACTAATTTGTGATAAAATTAGGTTCCCAACTTACAACTCCATACCTTTACAGTCTTAAATGCTTGTCAATCGTGCGTAAGAAGCTTCACTGGCAAATATGGAAATGAATAACCATTGTAAGCTTAGAAATTCTCGAGTATAATAGGTTTGCAACCTGTTGGGTAACCATGGCAACACTTTCGTAAATGCATAAATAATGAACAACAGTCTTTATTTCCACGCGTTAAAACTCACATGTCTTAAGTTACATATTTTGATTTAATCTTAAATCGTTTTATTGATAGCTCTAAGAAGATGAAGCTTTAAAAATCATCATAAAACACAAAAACTGAAAAATTAAGTAAAAACATAAAATATTATGAGCTCCAGCCGGTAGCTTAGAACGTTCCATAGGTATAAATCTTTCTGAATTAATCTCGATGCGATGAAAATATTCTTTTCTAAAATCGCAGTTGATCAACTATATACGGTTAAGTTTATGACTTCGTCATGTCTTCTAATCTGTATATTCTAAACATTTTAAAATCTAGAATTAAATGGCTTTGAAAAAAATACGCGTCGTATATCTTGTCATGGAAATTACTTCTTAACGTTTCAAAATAGCATCGATTGGTCCGGATAAATTTCTTTGTCGGATATTAGAAAACTGAATTCACAGATATTTTGGTTTAATTTCGACAGCAAGCGAACTGATTTTTTTAATCATAGCGTTTTCAAATCAACAATGAATAGTAGGTGAAAAAGGATCAACATCACCATGCATGCAAAGGCCACTCGATCATTAATCTGCCAACCACAACTGTATTAAAAGCGAATTTGACCGTTCTGAAGACGCAGAAATCACTATTTGAATGAACACTTTACCGTCAGAAAGTTTTAAAAAAATCCGCTGGTCTAATTTTCATTTCAGTTGATGTGGGGTTGCTGCCCTCGGGCCTTTTTTGATCTAATTTATCCCAATGGATATTGGCCAAGGTTTTATTTCCACAATGCGGATAAATTCCGTTGAGATTCGACCAAACAGCACAATAGCTACTGCTGTCATACCACCAACCTCCGCCTCTTTTTAGAGTACAATTAGCAGCATCTCTATCCCAGGTACCAAAAATGAAATCTTTGTGAGGATTGAGGGCATCAGAGGAAACAGTTGCATCTGCTTAGGAAAAAAAGAAAACTCCATAATATTAGGATCATGATAACACTTTTGACACCTCAAACTCGATAACTACTATTATCGAAATACAAAAATATCGGGCAAAATTATGAATACTAAAATTTTATGATTTTGCTAAAGCCGAGTTCAATGACTCTTCTATTTCAAGCAATCTCGAGAGCAAACTGACCACGGAGGAGCGTGAACTCAACTAGGTATAGGCAAGATGAACAGCAAAACACAGTCAAGCGGGTATACGCTAAAACAAACCATTATTTGCAGGTTACGTGAAGTTGGGGGAAGGGATTGAATTAAAAATCAGTTTTCATTAGGATTCAAGTTTTCACTGACTTGTATTTTCAATTTACTAACTTTGAAGCGGACAAACAACAGTTTAAGAAACCTCTCTGAAGAAGCCAATAACCTAACCCTAAGCAAAACCCCTTAAGCTTTGGTATGAATGGGGCAGTAGACGTCGATAAGGAAGTAATACATAAAGATCGAACGATGAATGTGTAAAAAGACTGTTTACTTACTTGTCATATTGCCAATGTACAGCCGATAGTCAGCCGTCCCGTTTCCAATTCCAAACCATTCATACTCAGCGTGAACAGTTTGGCGCGTAGTCACCCCCAGATCTACTCGAAGCATGTTCTTTGTCTTATTTTGTGTCAGACGGTTTATCTTGTCCAGTCCGAGCCAAAATTCACCGACCAAGTTACCGAAGCCATGCTTGTAGTCATTCCAGGTGCGATTAAAATCAACGGAGCCATCCATTCTCTTCTGGAAGACTGTCCATCCCCCACCGGAAGTAGTGTGGTCACAATAGACATTAAAGGCACCTGAGCCATCTGGGTCGATTGTGTAAACACCGCTGATCCTTTGACCGGAATGGTAGAGCTCAGCACAGTTCTTAGCTGTCGATAAAGTACAAGGGAATAACAGTTGATATTCTCTTGAAAAATAACAATAAAAATTGAAATGAAAAAAAAAATAATAGTAAAGGTAGTAACACACAAAACGAAGAGGAAGTGTGCTTACGTCTCGCCAATGTTTTGTTCTCCATGAGAATTTTAATCTCAAATCGAACTTGGGTGACTTCCTTCATTATTTCTTCCAAACAGACAGCAGTGTTCTTTTGGCAATCTATCGGGAATGCCCGTGTTGATGGTAGAATTTGATAAGTCACAGAAAGTGCCAGAAAAACCAGAGCAGATCCTGAAAGAAAGAAATCTTATCAGGTGGTGTGAGTTCACTACCCAGGGCCAATCCAGGATTGGCAAGGGGTGTCGGATTAATATCTGCCGATGAGGTATCGGCATCGTACAATTTGTGCGGAAATCACATCATGTCCCTTCCCTAACCAAAAACAACGACTTACGGTCTGCACTCTTTTTCATACTTAGCTAGCAAAATATGGAACTCTCTCCCAGACGCTTACAAAACATTAAATTTTCTAGAATTCAAGCAGGAGATCCTCAGATATGAAGCTTTTCCACAGTAGATATACAAGTTATATTCCCTCTGCATGCGCAATGTTGTTTATTGTTTATAAATAATATTGGAATTGTAAGATAGCATATTTTTATTTTATTTTAGCTTATTTTCTCGAAGATATTAGCTGTACAGCTACACTGTGAATTTCGAGCGTCAATAAAGTATATGTATGTATGTATGTAGGAATCCTTTTGCTGTTGCTTCTTACTTCCTGAAATTATCACTTGAAATTCGCTCGGTAATATATTAAAAAACAACAACAACAACAACAACAACGCGAGTAATACATGTATATATAAATTCTTTCATCACATAAAAAAGTTGTAGGACATGATAGTATCTTAGGGACGGATCGTTAGATTTTTGAAAAACATCGTGCAATTGGCAAAAGTCCCTTCGCCCCCCCCTCCTGCATCAAAAATGTAATGGTCTGTTTACATGCGAGACAATTTAGCTGGTAAAAACAAGTATTTACGTCCTTTTTTGTATTTTTCTATGCTTCCCTCGCTCCTAAAGAGGATTCGTACAGATATGAGTGTCGTACCGCGTTTACATTATACAGGTACAAAAGGTTGTCCGGAATAAGTGTTTCCTTCTGGAATTAAAATCTCAGTAAACTCATTCAGAAATGACTCGTTTTGAATAATTTTACTCTGGTCTCATGCGGTAACCAGGACGAACTCGTTCTTGAACAAAACTTATTCCGATATCATGTAAAAGGTCCCTAAGAGTTTTTATTCAAATAGCTTCAGGCAGAATACTGTGAATTCCAATATCGCTGAAGCAACAACCCGTTTTTAACTGCTACGCTGCCACTGAAACATCGATTAGTGACCACTAAAAGCACATATTCAGATATTGTCAATTCAACATAACCAAAAAGTCTACAAACAGGATAAATATTCATTTGTGTTGGTAGTAATTATATTAATTATTGCGTGACTAGCTTATAATATAAATGAGGTAGGGGAAGACACAACGTAAAACCTGGGCTCCTGGCAAAAAGTAATAACCAAGGGTAGTATAACAATCGAAATAGCTTATCATAAAAAAAAAAAAACAAGGTAAGAGTGTTATGTTAGATTTACGCAAATAAACGGTGGCGACTAGTAGACGCACCATGTATATTTCATAGTCGCTAGCAGTTAAATTTTTCCGGACTTTGAGTCTGTCTCACGATGGAACAACACAAATACACAAAGAAAATTTTTACAGTAACTTTATAACCATCCTTTTGTCTTTTAAAAGCTAGAAGCTCAGTAGATTCTGTCACGTCGGTCATTGTTAAGACTGTCTTTGTTTTGACGCTACTTTTCGACATAGAGGAAGTATGTCGGACAGAAATATTTACCAAAAAATGCATGTTTCATTGCCAGCTTCAATAATGACAGGGACTTAGGGACTTAAGTTTAGATGATAAAACAAAGGATTATGTTGACAGAAATAACGGAGGTTAAGTAAATTCGTTACATGAGGTCACCCAACTCGGGTAATATTCAAGGTGAAAATTTGCATATTTTAGCGGTCGAAGGAAAACAATCATTTCTCGAAAACTAAAATATATTTTTACAAAAAAACTACACCACAATTATTCGGACATATTGGGTTACAAAATATGAAGGTAGGAGTGTAAGAAAATTTTGGGTGACTTGCCGTTGCACGTTTGTCTCATGTATGTTGACATTAGCTCTTAAGAGATTAAGAGGTTGCACGTCACTGTTTTGACGTCATCTCCGATCTTTCGCAAGACTTGACTAAAAATTTCACGTAACAAATAGTAAGTCATTTGGGAAAATTTGCCAATTTTTATTTTGTCTTTAGCCATCATAATTCCTCCGAGCCCGAGGAAAAAATAAAAAGAGAGAAGAACTTTATCGCTTTGCCTGCCCTGATAAACGTGAGCTGGATGATATCGTCGAGGGAACTCAGGTGAACTGTCTCAAGTTTGCGGAACCTTTTTTATTCTTCTCCTTTAACTCTTCTAGAATTAGGTTGCGGCTATGTAAACAGTGATGAAATTCTTTATTGCCTAATTGTCCAGAAAAAGGCCTTATATGTTTCACGATCTCAGAAGCTTTTCTTTGTAAAATTATCCACCGGCAATCGTGTCGAGAAGAATATCCATCCATTCAAGCTAAGAAATGGAAAGTGTTCTGCTATGTACGAATAACGCATGCATCTTCCGCTGTATGACTAAAACTTGATTTAGTTGCGCACGTGCCCCTCTCCAATTTCACCATAATGAACTACTAGGTTATTATCCGGTGATGTGAAAACACAGTCACTGCGGGTGATTGCTTAACGAATTCAGTTAGGTTGCTGAATACGAAATTAAAAGTAACAGATGATTTATAATAGGTCATTTGTCTTGACCTTGGCGCCATAAAACTGATAGGGTTTCTACGATGTCTTCCGTTGAATTGTTCTTAAGGAAAACTTACACCTCGGCTTTTTTATTTTTATCTATGATATACGACATGGCATAATCGTGTAATGGTGCAGAGGAGTATAAAATGAATTTAATTGCGATGATAGTCAGAACACAGTGACATCATCAGTCAATCATCAATTAACGCGATCGATTGGTGGATATACCGAACAATTTTTGAGGTCGGATATTTCCATATCCGACATAAAGATATATCAAGTTCTCGTCGCAAGTAGTTTTATAAAAGAGCTAGTAAACACGTGTAATCAAATTTAAATGCGCGAGCATGCGTTATAATCCTATTTTGCACGTTTCTAACGTTAGCCATCAAATGCCTTTTCCATTTTCCTCCGCGACTTATTGCAAAGTTCTCGTCCAGCTTAGTTGCGAATTTTTAGCTTTCCGAGATGCATTTTCCCTTTCCATACTGATTAAGAAATACCTTTATGAACTCTAAATGATAAATATATTTATGGAAGAAAATGTACAATTTAAGAAAGTGCATCCTCATACAATCCGCCATGAATTACAACTTAAGAAGCCGATATGTATTTCCTCTTAAAAGCATGGCCTAACGATTTTCTAAAGAAATTTCCCATGCAGTATGGTCAAAGTTTACGGCTGAACTAAACAAGCTAAGGGGGCAACACAAAGCAGTTGTTTGAAAAAGCCTGAATTGTACTCAAGCGCATGCGAATTCAACAGCAGTCCTTTCAGAGTTAAAACAATAAATAAATGAATAAAAATAAAAAGGAATCTGGTTCATTTCACAAATCGCAAACGTATTGTCGTTTTTAACAGTGAGAGCTTTCGCTCTGAATTCGAAGTCGTGTCACATTTATCCTTACTTACTGAATGAACTCTCATGGGATGTGAGAGCGAATTGAGATGTTTGGTTAAGTTGTTACTGGCAGCTGACTTTTACCTTCAAAACTTCAGCTTAACAAAGGGGTTAATTTCATTGAACAATGTGAGTTCAACTTTATTTTGAGAGGGAAACATTTGTATGATGGAAACTCGTCTATTGCTTTTTAGAATAAATTAAAATTACTCGGGAATTGGTTTAAAACATAGATTACAATCGATTGCTTCAACAATGGTACTCGAAGGTTTCCGTAGGGTAAACTAAAATGGACTGAAGTACGTGTAGCAAGTATTAGTTCAAGAAACATAAAGATGAGAAAGAAATCTTCACGAACAGTAGTAGGTTTGGATTTAGTGTCGGTTTTGTCAATCGAGTCTGTGTTGTGTGAAAACAGGTTTTTTGCCTTCACAAATAAACGGACAGACGGGAATGGAGATGTCCCTCATTTTCCGCCTACGCATTGTGCATTTAAGTTCTTGCTGGTAACTCAGACTTCAATCCAACGACTTTCTATGCCTCGTTTGACCAGTTGTAAACACATGATGCAGCGAATCTTTCCACTCTTGTTGATTCTCTTAAAAAGCGTCCTTCTGGGTGGTATTTTAGAAAACGTATAGACAAAGGCTTTAGTTTGTCAGCGTGTTACCCGATGCATGAGATTTTCACCCTGAGAAAGAGCAACCTGGACTTATCGTTTCTTCTGTAGTTAATTTCACTTAGAGACTCGTGTTTTTTAAAGACAGATCAACGGCAATACTAATTTCATGGCCAATGGATGACCAAAGACCTTCCATTTAAGGTGCTCGCTTTTTCAGCGGAAATGGTGGAAGATAATTCTCATATGTAACCTCAACAAACCACTCCCAAACAAAAATAAATGCTTTATCAAGGCAGTGTTCTTTTGAGTAAAGATAGATTTAAATGACTGAAACATTCTTTTTGAAAATCTTAGATCCGAACTGATTATATTTGTTGGTATATTTTTCCATTTACTTAACCATTGATCAAGGCAGAAGCGAATTTAGAACTGAAATATTTCCAATTAAAAGATTGCACAAGCCGAACGAGTTTGGAAATTGAATTGCACGGTTATAGGGTATCACCAACGTGAAAGTTCGACCAGCATCGAAATAAATTCCGAAACGTTTGAACGCGACTTCTTTTCCATGCAACGCCATTGATCATTTACACTAGGCTTTTCGAGAGTTCTTGTCGTATTGCAAGATGAGTGTTGGATATAAACCACTTGGGCTAGTTGTTAGTAGAACTCTGATCCCCTTCAAGTAAAAAAAATGTTTTATGAAAAGTCGTATATTCGGATAAGTGAGAGCTGGATCTAAGCACCATAAGTGTCTAGCTTCTCATCACTTACCTATTCCTTGTTGAATGCCTCTCATGATAATTCTATAGGTGATGCACCACGCTGCCT